TAATCATTTGGAGTGGGTGAGGTATTTTAATTTGGATCGAAGAAAAAAAAATAAGAAAAGAGAAAGAAGTTGTTTGTGTTTGTAGTGTGAAATGTCTAGAAAAAAAATGGTATTATAGTTGTAGTTTGTGTTTTTAAAATTGAAAATTAAATAATATTTTTGGGTCCAACGGTAAAAAGAAAAAGAAAAGAAAATGGTCAAAAATGGACCGTGTAATGCGTTTGCTTACTATTCGTCGTCTCCGTTCGTCTTAGCAACCCCATCACAGTCAAATCACCGGACACCAAAACGGTGTTTATGCATAACTTGACTATCCAACTCCACTCTCATGCGTCTTTTTGGCACCCATTCTAGATAGCCTAATGATGGTGGTGCATATAGTTATACCCAAAAAAATAATGATTAGTTAAAGTGATACACTAAAGGGCTTCTAGCCCAGCGGTATTAGGTAATGTCCTCTTTCCTTGAAGTCGAGAGTTTAAATCTCGTTGTGGACATAGATGGATTTAGGTGTTAGTTTAGGAGTAGATTATATATTATATTAATATCAAAAAAGTAATTATTAAAGATATAATTAGTGAAGAAAATGATCATTGAAAAGGAATAAGGTTATCTACGAAAAACCAAACCACCAAAAAAGTAATTATTAAGGATATAATTAGTGAAAAAAAATGATCCTTGAAACGGAATAAGATTATCTACGGAAAACCAAATCATCTCTGTGAATAAAATATAAGAAAGAAATCAAGAAATAACATTTTGCCTTTTTTCAATAATTGTGACTTATTTCAATTTCTTGTAAGAAAACCGTATACGTCTCATTTTTATAAATTTGTATTTATCATTGGCAGGCATATTGTAATAAAAATCAAACCCATCCCCACCATGATAAAGACTTAATTGAGAAGAATAAATAGAATTATACCATGTAGAGTGGGTCTTACGTGGGACGTATGGAGGTGTATAAATGATGTGATATTTTTTTTATGTGAATATGATCGTAAATGAATTGAAAGTTACGAGCTGTCTGTGAATCATTCGACGAAATATTCGTCTATGCTCGTTTATTTGATACATGAGAACGTGAATAAAAATTCTTATTAGTTTAGTTAAACGAACGAATATGAACAATGATCTTGTTCATTCAATTATGTTCGTTTATGTTTTTGTTCATTTTATGTTTATATATGTTCAATTGTGTTTGATTACATTACTATATTATATGTTTGTTTATTTTGATAAATGTTCAATTATTTTTGTTTATCTTCGTTCGTTTGACATGTTCACAAACATAAACGAACGAACATGAACAATATAATTTGTTAATCAAATAAGCATGAATAAGAAAACTCGTTCATTTATCTGTTTGTATTGGTTCGTTTATTCGGCTAAGTTAAAAGAATGAACATAAACAACCCTCGTTCGTGTTCGGTTGGTTCATTACATCTCATTCGTGAACATCATCATTGTGGCTTTTGATGGAGGTGTGTCATAGATATAGCTACACAGAGCATTACAGAAAGGGAAAATGACTCTTGAGGGTAATTAACTTTTGCGTTTGTACTCATTTGGTCCCTTTTTTTTTTTGTATTCAATATACCATCGAACTTGTTGTTGGTGTTTACCATAGCCCTTTTGACCGGCTTTTGACCAGTGATAGTCGGTCAAAGGGTTATAGTGAACACAAACAACAAGTTCGATGGTATATTGAGTACAAAAAAAAGGAAAGGGACCAAATGAGAACAAACACAAGAGTTGGTTACCCTCCTGATTCATTTTCCCTTTACTCATTTACAACAAATCTCACATCATCTCCTACTGATATTAATGACTTTATGATATTCATTCTTGCTTCTCTTCAAAACATAACTCACGAAAGGACATTATTCATGCATGTACAACTTTGTAATGCACTTGAATATTTATTAGGGGAATCTTGACTAAGTAGGCGCATTTCATGACTACATTTACATTTGCAAACAAATGATTTATCGTATCATGGATTCTAGACAAGTCTACAAACGAGTGGAATCACAAGTGCTGTGATTTTTGAGTTTACTTAGCTTTAAGATCGAACTCATGGGATAAGATATAACATCAATATGTACAATATCATGTTGCTTTTGTAGACACATCACCATAATATTATACATATTGATGTTGTATCTTATGTTGGGTTTTGAGCAATCTAACACTTCCTAAGTGTGCATGCAACCCTAATAAACCTTGGATCTATGTTTGTCTAAATACATGAAAAATAATAATTTTCCAAGGTTCATAACCTATCTAACATGGCATGGGGTACTTTTAAACATAAAAGAATTAGATGAGATTACATACCTTTTTGATGAGTTTGATTCTTAAGGAGTTTGAGGGCCAAGCACCAATAGTGTGAATGCCTCAAATGGAATCACAAATCACCACAAACACTTGGAAAACTTTGAGAGAGTGTATACACACTATAATTTCAGCCACACACAAACACACACACTAGTGGCTATTTCATGCAACATAAGCATGCTTATATAGTGTGCATGGTTAGGGTGAAACCCTAATAACCCATGACCTTTCCTTTTCCAAGGATCCATGGGTTAAAAGCTCCATGGATCATCCATGGACTTCCATACAAGCCTAGCCCATTAACAAATGAGTGTTAGCCCACACCATATAAAACCAATAGCCCACAATCTAATTAGTCTTCCTTTTAATCTCTAAATTAATTCATAATTAATTTAAGACTAAGACTAATTAAATAACATGACTTCATATTAATATATTATAACTTATAATATATTAATAATCATATGTGTATAACTCTTATAAAATTATCCATAAATAGTTCGGGTGAAGTGCAACCCAAATGGACCATGCCGGGTCGGATCAAGTATATACCAAATAAGTTATGGACTTAGACACCTTATCCAACATCTTATCCCATGAGTTCGATCTTAAAGCTAAGTAAACTCAAAATCATAGCACTTGTGGTTCCACTCGTTTGTAGACTTGTCTAGAATCCATGATACGATAAATCATTTGATTGAAAATGTAAATGTAGTCATGAAATGCGTCTGCTTAGTCAAGATTCCCCTAATAAATATTCAAGTGCATTATAAAGTTGTACATGTATGAATAATGTCCTTTCGTAGGTTATGTTTTGAAGAGAAGCAAGAATGAATCTCATAAAGTCATTAATATCAGTAGGAGATGATGTGAGATTTGTTGTAAATGAGTAAAGGGAAAATGAATCAGGAGGGTAACCAACTCTTGCGTTTGTTCTCATTTGGTCCCTTTCCTTTTTTTTTGTACTCAATATACCATCGAACTTGTTGTTTGTGTTCACCATAACCCTTTGACCGGCTATCACAGGTCAAAAGCCGGTCAAAAGGGTTATGGTAAACACCAACAACAAGTTCAATGGTATATTGAATACAAAAAAAAAAGGGACCAAATGAGTACAAACGCAAAAGTTAATTACCCTCAAGAGTCATTTTCCCTTACAGAAAAGAGAGAAAGCACCAAATGGAGTGTAAACAAACTTACAAAAGTAAATATTTAAAAAAAATTACGTATAAGCACTAACTAATTATATACACTCTATCGCAATATAACCACAAATTATTTATTTATATACTATCAATTATTTATCCTTTAATTTATTCCACCAAATCTTGATTCACACAAATGTCCATATACATTAAACAGTACCTCACTATACAAGGTAGACATTTTAATCTTTTAATGTGGAAGATTTGAGGGCGTGATTTCGACGCTTAATCCTTCTTCTGGAAAGATACTTCAGCACTTCAGCGCTTTGCTAACGATACTAAAAGAACGAAGAAATCAAATCATGAGGGACTAAAATCTCGTAGGTTGAGAGACTTTGATTGGAATTAGCAAGGAATGAATGACGATGTCATCAGTGGTTGTTGGGGTTGAGGCTTCTCCAGCTGCTACGTGGCAGCATCTGGTGCATCTGATAAAGGTGGAATTAACGGGTGTTACAACACACACCATTCTTTGTCACCATCGTCTACTACCACCACCAGTAGATCTGGAAATCAACACACACATACTAATAGATCTAGAAATCATCACACACACACACATTAGATTTTCAAATCGATACCTACAAACCTGGAAATCAACACACACACACACATGTAAATCTCCAAATCAACAATAGCGACTAGGGTTTGCTCAACAAAGGCTAGGGGGTCGTCGCAAAGATAAGGTCATAGGCCGGCGATGGTTTGATTTGGAGAGGCAGCGAGCTACCTGATGTTTTGATATGGGGAGAATATAGGCGGCAAGTTGTGTTAGGGTTATGGGTTGACGACGGTGGTGGTTCCGGTCAATCTATTGGATCTCTGATTAGGATCAAAGTGTGGAGAGAGAGAGAGAGAGAGAGAGAGGGTAGCTTATGGTGGTGGTAGTGGCGGTGGCCAACGATGCTGGTGGTGATGAATGTTTTTTCAAATTAGTGTTAGTAGGTTAGAGATAAGGTTTGTGTATTATTGGGTAATTAAAATTAGTTTTAATTTTAAAAATATGTATTAAACCTGAAAATAAAATAAAAAATTAAACTAATGGTAAAATAGTAATTTTAGACCACCTTTGTAAAATAAAAACATAAGGACTAATGTTAGTAGGGACGAACCTCATAGACGAATTTAATAGTTGTATTTAATCAACATGTTTTGACAAAGCATAAGAACAACCAACCGTCTTAATTTGTCTATTGTGAAGAAGAAAAAAACGTCCAAACAAAAGAAATAATAAGAAAATAAGAGGGGTTATTAAAAACGACAGAAGTTTAAGTTTAAATAGAAAAAATCTCCCAACATAACATTTTATATATATAGTCAAAGTAAAACAAGTCACACTCTTAAACTTTCATCAAAACTAACAATATTGCACAACATTATTATAACCAACTAAAATTATTTCAAGAGGAAACAACATTATTATAACCAACTAAAATTATTTCAAGAGGAAATAGCCATGTGTGCACCTTAAATTTAGAAGTAAAATTCAAAAACAGACCTCTGGTTTTCTGAAAATTCAACAATCGCTACAAACTACAATTTAAATTTTGAAAACAACATTTGAATTTTGAATAAAATCCGACACCCAAATACACCATCTTGTAATCCTCAACCACATTCCAAAAAAACAAACACAGTTACAAACTACAAAAACTACACCATAACTTACACACACTGACCCTCTATTATATATAAACCACAAATCCTACAACTTGTGAGATTTAAATACTCCAATTAACCCATCTAAATAACTTCCTTTTAAAGTTTTAACTAAACCTAAATCAATCCCAATGCCACCTCATCTTCTCTGCTTCTGTGAAACAAACCGAATCCCTTGTTTCTCAAGATCAACATTACTCGTCTTCTTCCCTTCATCTAAAGTAACCGACACAACAGAAGTCCCTTCAAACACTTCAATCACAACACCCTTACGCCTGAGAAAAATATATATGTATATATCATCACAGTTTTATAATTTAAATGTTTTAATTACAAATCATAATTCACAAATCACAATAGTATTTATTTATTTATTACTTACCATGTGTTATTCAATGGCTGATGAACTTCAACCTTCTTCCCAATCGCATCTTTTCCCAATTTCTGAATGATCCAATTCGCATCCATGATGTCATCATCCATCATCATATCATCTTCATCTTCATCTTCTTTCCCATATGATGATGGCCTTTTCCTTTTAGATCTTTGACCCTTTACACAGCTTTTATCATCTTCACCAGATGCACCCCATGAAGTCTGGTTTTCAGAATACGGATTCTTGAACTTTAATCTCAACAATGGCTTCAGTTCTGATGTATGTGGGGCCCTCCCCCTCTCTCTCTCCCTCTCCCTCTCTGTGTTCTTTTTACCACCTACCGAAACTTCTGGATTCAACTTTCTGATCTTGATTGTGTTTCCTTCTTTTCCTCTCAATTTCAATCCTTTTGTTTGATCATGATAATCATGATGTTGATGATGATGATCTGAAACGCCATTAGAAGCTAACAACTCTTGATCTTTATGTAAATTTGATGCATCAGATCTTGGAGAATTTGATATGCTTTTGTTTCGTGAACCCAAATGTATAACAAGTTTTGGTCCCTTGGTGTTGTTAGAAAGCTTTCCATTTTCATTCATGGTGTCCACTCTATTAACATTTCTTTCCGATTTTACCCCTGTATGATTTATCGAACATACACCATCAAACTCTTCATCTTTGTTATTATCACTTGTGATGAAGCCAGTAGATTGAGCATCACTATGACCTTCAATTACAGGTCCATGGAGTCCCTTTTTCTGAACAGATTTTTTGTTTCCAGATTTTTTTAAAGATTCTTTATTCTTTTTAGGGGATTTATCAACTACCCCTTTGAGAGAAAACTTTAATGAACGCCCAAATTCATTCTTTGATGAAGGTTTGTTGTCTTCATCATCTGAATAAGGTTGAATTGAAAATATTTCTTCTTGAGTGGGCAGCCCTGCAGCTGCCCGAAGACTTGCGGTCAGCTCCCGGTCAGCTTTGTCTCTCCTCCTCCACAGTTCCTGAACAGCATCTTCCAGATCCCTGACCTGAAAAAACATAAAACAGAAACAAAAAGGGCAATTTCGTAATTATCAAGATTTTGTAGTGAAAAGTAAAAACTCATGTTTGTTTATTAACTATTCATACCTGATAACATTCTCCACGACATGTAGCACATCTATACTGCAGGTTATTGTCCACTTGGAATTGCAAATATTTTTCATCACTGCATTAATATTTTCCAATTTTTATTTTTTTTTAAATGAAAATTGACATTTATTAAGGGTTAAAAGAAAACCTAATTCCATCACAGTGACAATGCACCCAACGTTGACAGATATCACAACAAACCATGGGAGTTGATTCTGAGTCTCTATACACCTGAAATTATTATGATTATAAAAATATATACATATAAAAAAAACTTTGTTTATATAAAGTGAAATGTTCAGAGTATAAAATATAAGTTATACCTTTAAACAAACAGGGCAGTAATTTCCTTTCACAAACAATCTCCCACAAGCATCACAACAAGTATACCCTAAAAACCACCTGCAAATTGTTGGATATAAGGTTAATTTTATTTTTTTAAAAAGTACTTTTTTAAAAAATTTAAATGTAAGAAGTGAAAATAAGCATACCTGACACTTAAACCATTTCCTGGAACTGTGGATGCACAGCTGTGACACTTTGTATGCTTAGGGCACAAATAAGGTCCACTACTAACATTCTACATAATTTAAATATATATATATAAATAACATTATGGTGAATCTAACATGATGTTCAATGTAGGAAATTAAAGTTTTTTACTTTTTACAAATTACAATTTACCTTGTGTGGAGGTTGCTGACAATAACAGTGATGTGCCCCATCACACCTTTTGCAAAACATAAGCTTGTTTGGGTCACCAGTCCTTCTGCATACCTGGTTTTTTATTAAAAAGAAAAATGTATATTTATATGATTCTATGATTATATGATTTATATCAATAGCATGAATGAAAAAAAAAATAGGATCGACTGAAAATATATACCTCACATGTACGACATGAAGGGCAAGCCCAAGAACTCCAGTGAAACAGATCTGATATAAAAACCCTAAGTTATCAAGATTCAAGAATTATGAAACATGTTAGCAAGTAGCAACAGGAGATTGTACCTCTATTTTGAGCCCAAGACTTCACACAGCTTCTGTGATATTTCTTGTTACAAGTTTTACATGGTAGCATCTTTCTAGCTCTCTCACTTCCTTCGTTTTCACCTGAGAAACAGAGGCGACACATAACTTTGGCATTTGAGAGGCCTTGTTCATCTGCAGCAAGATCTTTAGCGACTCCCTGCATAAAACATGTGCACAACATCAATTAATGCTGATTCAGTGTAGAAACATGTAACACAGCTTGATTCATGGCCTCAGCAGATCAATCGCTGCATCTGATTATTAAATGACTCTATTTGAAAACCCATACAATTACCAAATTACAGAAAACGGAAGCTTTTGTCTGGCTCAGTAGTCAATACAACCACATTTTGCAACAATGATCACCAGAACTCAAATTCAAAAGAGAACTTACCTCAGCCATATCCCCAGATTCAAATCTACGAGCAAAATCTTCCGCCGCCACAGATGCAGCAGCAGCCTTCTTCTGCATCGCCGCACGCTTAGTCTGAGCGGACAACAGCTCCTCCGCCGCATCCCCAACCCCACCCACATCCACAATCGCAGAAGCATTAGGAGTCACAATCGCCTGGATCGGAGGAGGAAGAGGAAGAGGGGGTGGAGATGCAACAACTACCTTCGGTACAAGAACCTGAACCGACTTCGGTTTACCATAAATCAACGACGGATTCTTAAAAATCGCATCAACCCTAGACGCTGCCTCCAAGAACTCAATCTGCCCCTTCTCGCTCCGTAGCTCCGATGGAAACCCCAGCTTACAGTTACAGATTCGTCGGCTGAAATCGAAAGAAAGAGAGGGATTTAGAGTGAGAAAATAAGAGAGGTACGAGGTAGAGAGATAGAGAGTAGTACCATGTAATTGGACATGCGACATGAAAGGCCATGATATACGAATTTGGGGTTTTTTTGGTGAGAATTTTTTGAGGTTTTAAAGGTTTAGGGCGATTTTGATTTTTTAGAAAAAGAAAATATTAATTGAAAATAAATTTGGGGGAGAAAAGGCGATGTACAGTTCCCATTAGTGGGTGAATTTATGAATAGGATAAAGAAGAAGACGATTGATACGACGCCGTTGGTTCTTTGGGATAATTATGTAAGATCACCTTCGTAGTTTACTTTGACCACAATTCCACCCTTAGATTACAATGTAATTACTAAAGCAACCAAATATGAGCTTTCATTGATAGTTTTTACTTACTTATAGGGTTAGTTAAGAACTTAAGAATCTTTTCGGGAGATTAACTATCTTGATTATATTTAAGTTGTCAATAAATTTAATTTGTTATATAAAAAGTAATATATTTAGAAGGTGTTTGGATTACTTTTAAAATGATTTTTTAGTTTTTAATTTTTCTAAAAGTCAAAAAATATCAAAAGATATTTGAGAAATACAAAAATTCTTTTAAAATAACTTTTTATAGAGAATAAAATATGAATTTTCAAAAATATGACTTTTTTTTGTAATTGTGAGCATTTTAAAAACTAGACTATATTTAAAAGTTAAGAAATACAACCTAAATATTTTTTAAAAATGACTTTTGATTTTTTTTTCTTTTAAAAAAGCTAAAGTCAAAAAAAAATACAAAAATAATTTTTTATACTTAAAAAGTAATCTCAAATACCCCTTTATATTTTCTTGATATTTATCTTGTTATGGCAGGTATAGCATATCAAATTTTAATTTTGCCATTTTAAACTAAATTTTAAATTTTTATTATGATTTTGATTTGATTATAAAATTGGTTGAAACTTTTTTGTTTTACAAATTTGTTTCAAAGTTAATGTTTTTTGAGTTTATTTGGCAAATGACCAAAATTTAGGGTTACTTTGAAAAAAAATAACAACGAAAATGAGGAATTCGAAAAATGATTACAGGTTCCGCAGAAAGAGTTCTGTGGAACCATAAACGCTTCTGAGGAACCATGAACACCTTTGTGGACATTGGTTTATTTATTTATTTATATTTTCGTTTTTGTCGGGGTTTTTTTTTCATTTATTAATATATTTTTTTTTAATCACATAAGGTATTATGTGATTATTATGTAAAAAAAATGTTTTCGTTTTTCCTTTTTCTTATTTAATTGTCCGTTTAAAAAGTTGTGTGTTTAATAAAAATTATACAAATATTCTATGTTTTTTATAAAATTACACACACCGGTATTCTGAATAATAAACATACTTTAAGTAGGTTACAAAACATATTTTAGAAAACATAAACATATAACTTTCATAATAAAACATACTTTAAAATAAACTTCATTCATTCAAATCGAATCACAAAAACTTTAATCAAAGAAGATGGTGCATTTGTATTTAATGGTGGTAGGTGAAGAAGCTGAAGAATAAGCACTGGTTAACAACCAATTTAATCCAACAAAAACTAATAGAGGTCATAGAGAAAGCCAATGTGATGGAAACCGTTCAAAGGGGAAGAGGAAATGAAGTGCCAGTGGTTATGAAAAAAAATCGGTTACAGATAAATTTATATCTGATAATGATACTTTTGTATCAGATAATCATAAAGAAGCAAAAGTGGGCATGACTGAATTACAACGTCAAATTTTGTTCGAGTTTGGAGAAGTTCCTGACATTGATGATCGAATATGTGAGGAAAAATCAAATAAAGGGTGGTCGGATGATGAGTACACGCAACGGAAAACTGCTTTTAATCATTGGTATTATATTCCTTCTATTATTGATTGTCCATAACCTAATTTTGAACCTAGACCATTTCACTGTTTAGGGCCGAATGATAAATTAATTGTCAATCAAACCTATAACACCAAAAAAGAGATAGCATTTGCTGTTAAATTTAAAGTCGTTAGAGAAAATTTTTAGATAAAGGTTGAAAAATCTTCAAAATCTCGGTACCAGGTTGTTTGTATGCAAGAAAACTATCATTGGCGATTATACGCATCTCTCATTAAAGGAACATAAATATTTGAAATTAAGATGTTTAATGACGAGCATACATGTTCTTCATTTCTTATACACCCAAATCATAGGCAAGCAAATAGCAAAGTTGTAGGAACCATAATACATGACATTATGGGTCAAAGAAGTTTGAGAGTTTGGAAGCCTAATTTTATAATTAGAGATATGAATGTTTTGTTACAAATAAATATGAGTTGTTCACAAGCGTGGCATGATAGGGAATTTGCTCTAGGATTAATGATGGGGACTCCCAAAGAAAGTTTCTCAAAACTTCCAGTTTATTTTCACAATCTGAAGAAACATAATCCACGTGAGAAACGGACCAGAGCGTATTGCTCTACCACGAGGTATGATCATATGACCTCAAATAGTGTGAAGTCCATGAATGTTGTATCAAATAAAGCAAGGAAGTTGCCTATATTACCACTTCTTGAGTTCTTTCGCGCACTTATGTAGAAACGGTTTTACAAACGGCGAATGGTTGCAGGTATGATTATGTTTAATTTTAAATTATATGATAAATTGCATATATAATAGTATATGTTTGTTTTAACAGAAAAAAGTACAACAATACTTACGAAGTGGGCTAAAGATATGGTTATAAAAATAAAAATGGGATTCAAGGATGGTCGGTATCCGGTGTTGACAATACAAGATATCAAGTGCATGAGTTCAAAAGTGGTGGCATAGTGAATGTGAGGAAAAAGACTTGTTCTTGCAAATATTGGCAACTAACTGGTTGCCATGTGGTCATGTGATAATCGTTTTAACGCGCTTGAAAACGAATCACTATGGGCATATGGCTATAGATGCTTATAAAATTGAAACATATCGAAGAACATACGAGCAGGCCGTATACCCTCTTTCAGAACTTAGTGATTGGGAGGTTCCGGATGACCTTATGGTTTTTAACCCTCCTGTAATGGAAATACGTCAAGTCGTTAGACTAAAAAACACCAATCGTATTCCCTCTCAAGGTGAGGAACCAAAAATATGAAGGTGTAGTAGATGTCATAGCACAACTCATAATGCAAGGATGTGTAAGGAAATCATTCCAAAGAACCAAAGTAAAAGTAAAAAATATACTGGGGCGTCAGGAAGTGGGACAAAAGCGATAGAAGAGGAACCGACCTAAGCAACTGAAAACCAATGGCAACAACATACCGAATAACAATGACAGCAGCAACCAGACAACCAATGGACATAACAGACCGAACATTAATGGCAGTAGCAGCCAGACAACCAATAGACACAACAGACCGAACATCAATTATAGCAGCAGCCAGACAACCAATGGATGCAACAGACCGAACATCAATGATAGTAGGAGCCACATAACCAATTGACGCAAGGGATACCAACCGCAGGAAGTGTAACGCCTGGTTCATGGTACATATTTAACTCATTTATTTATTTATTTTGAAAGAAGGACTCGACGAGTTGGTGGCCTTAACTCGTCGAGTAGAGGGCAGAGTATGCGCGAGATTTAAGATATATACTCGGCGAGTCGAGATCCCCGACTCGACGAGTAACTTGGATAGGGTAAAACCCTAATTTCGGGGTTTTGCACCCTATTTAAGCATCTTAATCCCCACCCCTTTGCCTCATTTACAGTCTTCTTATCCCAAACCCTAATCCATGAAACCATAGAGCTTTCCTTGAGTGTGTAAGCCATTTTGAGTTATCTTTGTGCACTTTTGAAGGTTGTGAAAGAAGAAGAAGATAGGGGGCTCAAGAGGGAATGAGTAGATCCAGAAGCTACACTCTATTTACTACATTTTCTGGTAATCAAGTCTCTAACTTGATCATTCTTTTCTTATATCTATTTACTTCCATTTAATGAGGGTTTTAGTTCAAGAACCTTGGTCTTTGGGATTTGGACGTCCCAAGTGACTTATATTTCAGATCTGGGATGTAGGAGGGATTCATGGCATAAAGGTGTAAACTTTATGACCATGGAAGGCCCATGCAAGCTTTTGAGCATTTATATGGCCTTTTTAGCCCTAAAAGGCCATGCATGGAAGCAAGTTCAAGACTTTTCGTGTCCAAATGGTGTTAGGGGATTTAGATCTGAGATTGTAAGTTGGAGTTTGGTGTATGGAGGGCTTAAGGACCAAGTTCTAGGTCCCAAGGAATTAGGGTTTGAGCTAAACCCAGTAAGAAGTGGTATTATTGGGTAAAGTCAGAAACTTTACCCTTAAAAAGGACATTTTCAAGGTTCAAGTGAAGTATGGACTTTAGATCTATAGAACAGGGGCTTAATCTGTTAAGATGGCCAAACAGACAGAGGGACTCATCGAGTCCATAGGGGAACTCGACGATTCGGGTCGTGTTGTCATGTTCCAGTTTATGGTAGAACTCGACGAGTCTGTAGAGGGACTCGACGAGTTGATTCGCCAAGTCGCAACTATGAGCAGCTTGATAGGACTCGACGAGTCAGAGGAACGACTCGGCGAATTGAGTCGCGATTTCATGATTTTTAAGTTAAAAAGTTCAATGAGCTGAAAAGTTGACTCAATGAGTTGGTCAACTCATAATGTTGAATTGACTAGAGCATTGACTTTGACCAGGAGTAAAATGGTCATTTTACCCTTAGATAGATTTTCAGTTTTTTGACTAAGTATTATTGTATAGAGTTAGCCACGGAGTCGTGGGAGCAGCCATCAGAGATTCCTTACGCACAAGTTCAGCATCTAATTTGTGAGGTGAGTTTTCCTGCAGTAGGAACGGGTCGAAGGCACGAATGTCAGCCCGTTCATGTATGATTTCCGTATGGCAGACTTAGATCCGATGTCGGGGATAGCCCGATGCAACTTATATGTTCTGGACTTCGATCTGATGTCGAGCAAGCCCGAGGAATGTTGTATGCTTAATGTCTTTCTGATTCTTGCATGTACTTGTTTGTATGTTCCGGACCTCGGTCTGATGTTGGGGCAAGCCCGATGAAGATTTAACTTATATGTCATGTGTTATGTGTTCCGGACTTCGGTCCGATGTCGGGGCAAGCCCAAGGAAGCTTTACAATTATATGTTATATTATATGTTTATGTTTTATGTGTTTGTTGTTATGATACATGTATAATGGACTTCGGTTCGATGTCGGGCGAGGCCCATGCCGGACTTCGGTCCGATGTTGGGCGGGGCCTGATATCGGAATAGTCCGAGGCGGGCGGGGCCCGATGCAGTGGGCAAGGCCTAGTATATGTTATTATGTGTTTATTGTATGGTATGTGGTAGTTTGGGGGAGCTCACTAAGCTTCATGCTTATATTTTTCAGTTTTGGTTTTAGGTACTTCTGCTAGCAAAGGGAAGGGCTCCGGATGATCTCATGGCACACACTACAATTTTCTGGCATGAGATATTTCACTCTGATATTTCATATGATATTTTGACGGTTAATATGATGTTTTTGAGATACATGGTTTATGATGTTTACTTGATAATGGTATTTATGGTTTTAATAATGAATTAATAACGAATTTTTTGGACCGTATTTTTGGAATGTTTCAGGAAGAGCCACATAACCAATGGTAGGGTTGCACCGAGTACCAATGGTAGCAAGAGTCAGATAACCAATGGACGCAAGCGGCACTAAACCTAGGGACACATGTAACAGAAAACCCATGGCCGGAATACGAAAACAGATCAAACATTTCCGTGGTTTGATTTGAATGAATGAAGTTTATTTCAAAGTATGTTTATTATGAAGGTTGTATGTTTATGTTTTCTAAAATATGTTTTGTACCCTACTTAAAGTATGTTTATTATTCAGAATACCGGTGTGTGTAATTCTATAAAAGAAAACATGAAATATTTATATAATTTTTATTAAACACACAACTTTTTTAAACGGGTAATTAAATAAGAAAAACGAAAAACGAAAACAAATTTTTTTTACATAATAATCACATAATACCTTATGTTATTAAAAAAATAATATTATTAATAAATGAAAACAAAAATAAAAATAAAAACGAAATAACGAAATAAAAAAAATTCAAAAAACTAAGATCCACAGAGGTGTTTATGGTTCTGTAGAACTCCTTCTGCGGAACATGTGGTCATTTTCTGAATTACTCATTTTCGTGGTCATTTTTTTCAAAGTAACTCTAAATTTTGGTCATTTGTCGAATAAATTTACGTTTTTTTTTTCCTAAAATTATCTTTTAAGGCTTTTTTTTAAAAAAAAAAAATCTAATTGCGATTTTTTATTTTATTTTATTATAGCTTTCTTAAACGTGTATTACGACCTTTTTACATATTTACGCAACCTTTTAAAGTTTTTTACAATATTATACAAGCTTTTATAAAAAAATTTAACCTATTAATGAACTTTTTTTTGTAACTTTTTTACAACCATATTAATCTTTTTTATAATTCCGTAAAAGATTTTTAAAATTTCTTTTACAATATTTTTAAATTTTTTATTTTTAAAACGACCTTTTGTAAAAACATACGTTAAATGTGAAAAATCACAAATAAAAAAACATACAAATTGAAATAAAGAGTTTGTAAAGTATAAAAAAAAATTTAATAAAAAAGTTGCATTACACGTATAAATGGGCCACAAAATGTTAGAAAAATGTAAAAAGCTATATAAAAGTTGTGTAAAAATGTAAGAGGGAGTTTAAAAATGGTCTAATACATAAAGGTTGTAAAAAAAATAAAAAATGTCTATAAAAAATGTTTTCAGAAAAACCTTAAAAATATTAGAAAATTATTTTTTACAAGAATTTGTTTAAAAAAAGTTGGACCACGATCCAAGCCAAAGCCAAAACATTACGTCTTGTCTTCCAAGGTTGTAATGTTGTTTCCAGTAAGAAATATCATCTGCATCTAAGATCAAAAACACAACATCCCTCTTACTTGCTCTAATGTAAACATGGGACTCATTTTGATTTTTAGTAATACTAATACCCAACTCTTTCATTTTCACACTAAAGCAAAGTTTTTAGTTTCTTTCTATATATGGATCTTTAAAGTTTTCATAATTTACGAGGATGTATTAATGCTTTTGGTTGCACCATACAAACTTCCTTTCTAAAGGTAACCATTTAAGAAAGACTTTTGACATCTATTTTTCATACCTCATAACCTAAATATGTGGCTATTGGAATCAAAATCCTAATTGCTTTTAATGCTCATCGATGAGTAAAAACTTCCTCATAATATATATCATGAGTCCATGTATAGACCTTTGCCAGGGGCGGCTCCACCAGTTTGGGGTCCTAAGCAAACCAAAATTTTGAGGCCCTTTGAGTTCTTGATGGTTATTGATAACCTTGACATTGAGAAAACTCAAATTTGTTCCATATTGGCAACGTCCAACCAAAATCATTCCAAAATCCAACTTGACACAGTGAATATTAAAAAAAATAATAATAAGTCCTATTGACCCTAATAGATAGTGTAATCAAGATAGAAGTATCAGTCCAGACTACATCAAAGTTCAAAACACAGATTATTCCTTCTTTTCTACCGAATATAAAAAACAAATTTTGTACATCAAAATTAATAGATTTAAATTCATCAAAATAGCAAAACTTACTATAATATATATATATATATATATATATATATATATATATATATATATATATATATATATATATAAACAAAACGTCACTCAAATAATTGCAGAAAATATGTACTTGCTTTGCCCTAAAATTAGAAAATATAATCTCACATATTGCAGAAAATATATACTCACTTTTTCCTAAAATCAGAAAATACAATCTGAAAAATGACATGAATCATACAAAACTTTAAAACATACTTACAAACACAAAAAAACTGACAGTGAAAGGGAAAATGCTCATATACAAAGTACAAACAATCAAACTCAAAGACAAACACAAACAATATTACAGGAAGAATCATGAATTCGCCAAGGAAAGAGGCAGAGTCATAGATTGTCAACCTTTTAGAAAGAAGAATCAACAATGGAGCTAACTTTTTTTCAACGCATTTAACTTTCATCCCGATACTTCGAACATATTTCATCAACACTACGATTTTGGCAGCCCGTTAATTCATGAAAAATGTTTCCAACCTTTATCCAAAAGTTATGACGCGTTACTGGGTCTTCTAAAGCCGCTACCCATGCTCGTGCTAAGTTATCTTCTTTATTTTCTGACCAATTCATCCTTTTCGGAGCCATTGGTTTTGGAATAATGTAAAAGAAGTGTGTGATTTTTGTGAGAAAAGAAAGAAGAAATTGTGTGAAAATGTTTAATAGAAAGTGTGGTATTTATAGGAGAAGGTTAATATATTTGAACAGTAAAAAAGAAAAAAAAATCTGTTGGAATCCAAAACTAGCCGTTGCAGCATTGAACCAATAGAAATGTGCGTTTGATCTCGTCGTCGGGAGCACGGACAAGCACGACCA